TCTTCCACTTCTCTGTAGGCTGCTGCTGCCCTCAAGTCATTGCATAAGTCCAGGAATGGGAATGCAAGCGACACAGGCAAGGCAGTGCAGGGGGGAGGGAGGGCGTCCTAGTGGGTACCTCAGTGCCCAGCCTGGACATGCTTAAGGAGAGGGAGCTCCAAAGCTCCCTTGGGACCATGCAGAGATTGGCTTGGGCCAGCTCCCAGCCAGCAGCCCCTGCCGCATCTCACCGTGGCAGTGCCTGCCCCCACCACGCTCTCTGCAGCACCTCCTGACGGATCCATCCATACGGCCCTGGGACTGGCGACACATGCACTAACATTTGGGGTGGCAGCATCTATGCTAGTTTGTGTTGCCTCCACCTGCCCCACAACTTTTTTTATTCCTGAACAAATAGTGTTGCTCTCAGCCTGCCGGGTATGTGAGCCTGTCTTTTATCCCTACAGACTGGCACCATCTGCTACCAGGCACCCAGGTGACCCTGGCAGCACCCCAGGCTGACCTTCTACTTGTGCCCATTGGTACCATCAGAATAATTCGCTCTCTCCCTCTTTAGAACAGCAAAACCTGCTGCCTCTTGTCATTTAAATCTCACACTTATCTATTAAGCTCAGCGTGATCTGCCACCTGTCTAGTCCTCTTCAAATTAGGCACTTCTTCAAGTATCACGGTGAGAATGGAAAAATGAAGCTCATCGCTTTCTTGGTCATTCTGACAGTAATATCCTGAGACAGAAAGAAGCTGTCTCATTCTGTGCAGGTCCTTATGCCACACGTTAAGCTGCCAGTGCTTCCTAATCTCCCCCCTCCTTCCTTTCCTCATCCTCAGGCATGGGAACCCAGGCTCGGGCAGCTGCTAGCTGGGTCAGTCCTGCAGGGGCTCTCATCGCTCTCCATCTCCCTCTAGCACTGTGAACAGACTGATAACCATCTCTGTTTTCTTCTTCTCTTTTTTTGGGAAATAAAGTGAATAAATCAATGGTGGGATGCTTTTCCTGCATGGTTAAAGCTGTGGTTTGCAAATAATTTTAACCACATAGAGGATGTGTGCGTGCATTTAGGCTTTATTTTTCTTTCTTTTTTTTTTTTTTTCCTAGGGATTTTTATGTTTTTCAGGAATCCTTAGGATTTGTCATCTTGGTAAAAGGGATTAAGATCTGTAGATATCTGACTGGCACTAATACTTTGTATCTTTCCTCTGCCATCCTTTTTACACTATGTTTTGCAGCATATTATCTAGCTGGGATGTCTGGATACCAGTGTAAGTAAGAGAAGGTGTAATGAAGCCTGTTAAGGTTTGTCTCAGCACTGGATTCCAGAAGCCGTGTGTTTTTAGCACTGGGGCACTGGTCATTCATTCAGCTTGTTACTTAAAAAAACCCACTAGTTGAGCACACTTTACAAATTACAGGGATGTGAATTAAGGAATGTGATAGGAGTATTTTTTCCTGGTTTTTTTTTTTTTTTTCTTTCTTATTAAGTCAGTTGTTTTAGCAATGAAGATCCATGACTGGTCTTCTGTGCATGGATCTTTCCTGAACATTAACACTTGATTCAGTGTCATTCAAACCTGTGATGGCCATTCTACTAATTCCAGTGGTTATTTGGATTAGGGCCTATTAAGGGCTGCTATTCAAAGAGCTGATGTCAGCCACTGAATTGAACAGACTATTAAGTTAGTTTATCATTATTAGTGAACTTATTTATTAAATATAGGTTCAATGTTATGTCACGTTGTCTTTTGCTATGTATTTACCTGATGTTTAAATATAAATTATGCTGTATGTAGCACTTATGCTGAGTTTCTTAATCAAAATAATTAATGAAGTTATAAAATTAGCTTTTTAGTGTCTCATGCATGAATTTTTGTGGGAATTAGTATATGGAAAGTCATCTCATCTATTAAAAAGAGGCATATATATTTTCAAAATGTTTTATACTTAACGTATTTTTTATCAGTCAGTTACCGATGTGTATGATAGATTGTTTAGTTTGGAAGAAATGATACTGAGTTTTAGGAATATATATCTTTTTAATTACTGGCCCTTATGTTTGGGAAATAATTTATCTGTGACCTTCATAAGCCAAATATTTTTGTTTTCTTGACATACTAAATGAAGGCTTTTGCTACTTGAAATTGCATGTTTAAAAGGAGAATCTAGTTTCTTTGTGCAAATGCAAATGAGAAATAAGAACAGATTGAAGGACCACGAAAACAATTCCTATCCTTTAGGAAGGAATGAAAGCCCTCCCTTTCCTTCTAAGTCATGATACATATTTACTGCTTTGAGTTGTAGCCTCTGAGGAAGAATAGTCGTGATTTGTATTATGACGTCTGAGGTTTTGTTCCTTTTCGTGATACTACGGCATAGAAGGAACACAGGGTAGTGAAAGTGAAGATGTCCTGTAGATAGAACACTGAAACAAGACCACCCTGGTTGTTGTTCCTTCGGAGATGCAGATAATCATGGCACAGAGATTATACTGCTTACATAGAAAGAGGGTAAGTGTTGTTGGAATTATGTCCAAAATTTCCTTCCTGGATAAGAATACCACCAAAGATTAATTAGCATCAGTGTTCTCAGGTGGGATGTTGTTGATCCCATAATGGCTGCCACCTTTGCTTGCACAGTCATTTGTATAAACTATGAGCATTTTCTTTTATGATTCTAGGTGTTAACTATCAATTCCAAGAAAAAAAATCAGGATGCTGTTTTCAAACCCTTGCAGGATACTTATTTTAAATACGGAAATGCTACTGTCATGGGCTTTGATTAAGGTTTCTACGTACATTTTCTGTTAATCCATCAACAAAATGATTTATAGAACCTTGCATGTTCAACATCTTTGTGGCTTCCTATGAATTGATATATTACCTCTTACTGTTTTGGCTTGCAGGAACTAATATAGATTAAATTCATGCAAGTCCTACAGCTCTCTCATTCTTTGGAAGTATTTTCATCCTTTGCCATCATCCTCAACTTATGTAGGGGCAGATCCCTTTTACGATGTATTTTCTTTGGGCTGTTTGGCAGCACACAGGGGTCATAAATCATGTCTCCTGAACACCTAAGATGGTAGAAAAAAACCCTGGTGTATCAAGGAATTCCACTGTGTATTTGGCATCTGATGTAGCGTCTCCAGGCATTGAGGGCTAGGGGTATTATTTGGAGCACAGTTGCTCTTCATTTTCTATCTTGCTGCTTCTGCGGTCTCCGAGCTCTCATTACCTGGCATAACACTGAGTTGTCCTATAGGAACTCTAAATTATGCCAGGGCTTGAATTATCTGTTGAATGATGGTCTGTAAGGTCTGATAACTCCTCTTCGCATTGTATGACCTGAGGTAATTCAAGCTAAGGTAGTCTTGTAGAAGAGAAGAATATCAAGGCTCTAAGGTGCATTAGTAACTGACAGTGAATGGTTCATTGTTATGTGTGGACAAAAACGTTAAACCAAGTTAATTATTCTCAAATAGCGTCACAGAAATAGTTTTTGCTGGTGCTTTTGTTAAGTAAGCAATGTCATATCTTAGGGGAAGGAATTATTCATAGCATAGAGAGATATATATGAGAGAAAGTAATCACTAGGCATATAGGAAGGTACAACGTGCAGCCTGGTGCATCTGGTAACTAAGAGCTTTTGGCATCCAATCCATTATGGTATTCTTTTCTGCTTTGTCCCATATCCACAGCTTCATGGGTGTGAGCAAGCCTTCATGCCTGCATTGAGTTTGTTGATGTTACTGAAAATCCACATGGATTCAATCCTCCTGCTCACTTTCAAACACAGGATGCAGGCCATATGTTGGATCCAAAGACTCGGTTCCTTAGCACTTGAAAGCTTTCTCAGTTCAGAGATGTTGCTGCCTTTTCAAAAGATATGGAGATGTTTCTGCTTTAAAATTCTATGGCAATAGCCTTGTAGTCTCCTATAAATGTCTGCTTTACTTTTTTCGTATGTGTGTGTGTCCTGTATTTTTCATCATTCTATTTTTATTGTTAGTTTTACAGCTAGAGCGTGACCAGATAGGCGCTAAAGTGCCAAAACAACACACATATTTTTAGCTTATGTAAAGGTAGTAGAAGGAAATGTTTATGAATAGTTTTGCACATATTATGCTGAGCT